TTAACTCATTTATTCATTTATTTTGTAATTATCAGATAATTATCTTATTTACACATTGTTAAATCTTAAAGTGGATCTAAAAAATAAATTTTTATATAATTTTTCCATGGTTTGGGGGGAGGGGAACCACTCTTGCCCAATCAACTCAGCGTTTGAATTGTAAATTACTATTATTATTTTTTTTCATTTTACATTTTAGTCCAAACTATATGGGAATATATGTTAAAAAATATTATACAAATTAATAAGTTATACAAAAAAAATTTATTAATTATTAGGGAAAATTAGTCTAGGGTCCCTCTCCCACTTTTCGTAATGGAAGAGATCTACAAAATTATTTTTTGATGTCTAAGGTCCTTCAACCCCAAACTCATATATCACAGAGAAATTTAAGAAGTCTCTCTCTTCTCACTCTCTGCTCTCTCTCTCTCTCCTACATCAACCCCAAACCCTAGCTTCTTCCTTCATCCTTGTGAGCTTGCTCACAACTATCAGACCTTGTTCTTGCTCAAACACGTCTAGACCCACGAATCGTGGTCTTAGCGGAGCTGTGAACACAGACCAAATCAACGAGTTACTCCGAAAGCACCGAAACGGAATCGCGGCAATCAACAGGCCGACGAAGAGGACTCCGCTCTCTCTCTCTCTCTCTCTTTCTTACTAGAAACTCTCTTCTATTTCTCTCTCCCTAATCTCTCCCTACAAAGTGTGAGTTTGCTTTTTCTGTCCTTGCTGGCTTTGCCTTTGGATGTGTTTTTTCAAACTTTCCCTATTTCTTTTCCCTTCATTTCTGACTTCAACATCTCATTTTTCTCTGATATATTTTGCAATTCCGTATCCTTATCCATCAAATTTGCCCTCAAATGTTCAATGTTGTCTTTTGATTTCTTCAGTTCCTTTTCCAGTTCATATTCTCTCTGGCTTGGTAAGCTCTTCTCAAGCTTCATATGCAGCTCCTCATTCTCCTCCGAGATACCTTGCAATTTAGTTTCCTTCAAATTTCTCTGGTTGTTGAAATTTCTCTGGTAGATCTTTGGTTTGTTCAAATTTCTTTGGTAGGTCTCTAGGTTGTTCAAATTTCTCTGGAAGTTTTGTTACTGCCTCATGCTATCTCCAGTTAATCATTTATCTTGTTGTGCATTTGTGTTGATGCTATCAAAGTGCTCTTGCTTGTTTTGCTTTCATGCTGCTGCTACAGATAATGTAGAAAGAAGATGATGATGATGATGATGATGATGATGAAGGTTGCTTGCTGTTTTTTATGGTTGTGAAGAAAGATTTCAATGTCAAATGGAATTTGATGAATGAATTCTGAGAAATTTTCAACTATACCAACTTTATTAGATTTGATTTCATTGAATTTCCAAGACCTCTTCCTCTGTAGAGAAATTTCAATTTTCTCTGCAGAGAAGTTTCAATTTTCTAACATCTCATTTTTCTCTGATATATTTTGCAATTCCGTCTCCTTATCCATCAAATTTGCCCTCAAATGTTCAATGTTGTCTTTTGATTTCTTCAGTTCCTTTTCCAATTCATATTCTCTCTGGCTTGGTAAGCTCTTCTCAAGCTTCATATTGTGCCGTACATTATTTTTCTTGAACTTCACAACAGATTGAACAATTCCTACTTCAGCTCATCTAACTTTGCTTGAAGAGCATGTTGCAATAGATTTTTTGTATTTTTTATTTCATCATCTTCTTAATTTTCTTTTTTGGTAGATCTTTGGTTTGTTCAAATTTCTCTGGTAGGTCTCTAGGTTGTTCAAATTTCTCTGGAAGTTTTGTTATTGCCTCATGCTATCTCCAGTTAATCATTTATCTTGTTGTGCATTTGTGTTGATGCTATCAAAGTGCTCTTGCTTATTTTGCTTTTCATGGTGCTGCTACAGATGATGTAGAAAGAAGATGATGATGATGATGAAGGTTGCTTGCTGCTTTTTATGGTTGTGAAGAAAGATTTCAATGTCAAGTGGAATTTGATGAATGAATTCTGAGAAATTTTCAACTATACCAACTTTATTAGATTTGATTTCATTGAATTTCCAAGACCTCTTCCTCTGCAGAGAAATTCAATTTTCTCTGCAGAGAAATTTCAATTTTCTCTGGGTTGAACCCAAAGAAATTCTTTAGGAAGTTCATAATTTCTCTGGGTTAGAAGTAATTTTCTTTGGGAGCGTTTTTAGAACCTTCTATCTGTGACACAGTGAAAGCTTTCAACAACATTTGGTGGAGGATCAAACCCACGGTAGAGAATTTCTCTAGAGTCCATGAAAGGCTAAGGAAATTTCTCTGGCAATGTCCATGAAAGGCTAAGGAGGCCAGAGAAATTCAAAATTTCTCTGGACTAATTTCCTCTGACTTGAATTTTCTCTGGACCAATTTTCTCTGGATTGATGTTGAGGGACCTTAAACATCATGAAAATATTTGATGTCCTTTATACTATAAAATCATAATATCAAGGACCTTAAAAAAAAATACCCCTAATTATTATGTCATGCAATAATAAAAAAATTTAAAAATTAAAATAGTATTCAATTCTATGATAGAATAGGCGTCAATTGGAGTGTTGCTTTTTATTACGAATAGCAAAAGAATGAAATTCTGTTACGCTTTGTTTGGTTAAGAAATTCGGAAATAAAAAGGAAAATTGTATGTGAAATTAGGTGAAAAATAAATATATTTTATTCACATTTCATCTATCTTTTCTCTTTTTCTTTCTAAATCTCTTCTTAAATCTCTTAATCAAACACAACATTAGAGAATTGGTACATTCCACAAATTCTGATTGTGTTTTTCTTCCTCCATTTCCGTGATTATGTATTTTATTAATTTACTTATGTATGTTTGAATTAAATTAAGAAAAATAATATTTTTATAAAAATATTAAATATTAGAGTACAATTTTTGTTTATTTAAATGTCTAATTTAAAGACTATTCACACAATCACATCATAAAGTATAAATTAAATTATATAGTGATCATACTATAAAATTGCATATACACTATTACTACAAAATTGCATATGCACTATTAGAGTAGATTTATCAAAATATGATATTTTAACACTATTAGACTATCAATATCAAACTAGTTAAAATTTAAAAGTTACTTTTTGAATTTTGATTTTATATCTTGTTGAATACATTTTTCAACAAATTCTTTATTATTTCTCTATACTATTTAAATATTTATTTTATTCATTTTAATTTAGAATTATTTTTTATAAACTTAACCCAATTAATTCCAAAATATAAAAAGTACATTTTTTTAATGTTTGGTTAGGATAAACTACTAGCTACATTTGTCGAGACAAAACTATCAAAATTAAAATGGCTAACTCGATAACTAGTTTGATAGAAGTGAAATTTAGTGATTTATTTACTATTTTAACCAAAAAATAAAAATAACAAATTTGAGGTTGACGCTGTAGCATACTAAAACATGTCATTGGCTAGGGGTGTTCACGGTTCAACTGCGATTGGGAAACTTTCAATCCGTCATCTGTTTGTCGGATTGAAAAAAATTAATTTGCATCCGTTCATCGAATTGACAGATGCAAATTGAACGGATTGACAGATGGATATGAATCGGTTTGCAGTTTAAACTCTTATAAATTTTGAATATAATACAATAACAACCAAAAAATAAAAATAACAAATTTGAGGTTGACGCTGTAACATACTAAAACATGTCATTGGCTAGGGGTGTTCACGGTTCAACTGCGATTGGGAAACTTTCAATCCGTCATCTGTTTGTCGGATTGAAAAAAATCAATCTGCATCCATTCATCGAATTGACAGATACAAATTGAACGGATTGGCAGATGGATATGAATCGGTTTGCAGTTTAAACTCTTATAAATTTTGAATATAATACAATAACGTATCAAAATTTTTTTTTTGATAATTATCTAACGCAACATAATCAAAAGATTATCAAGTAAATTATCAAATACCAATAATAAATATATATAAGAAAATCATGCATTATCAAAACTATTTCATTACTGTTTTTTTATTCAAAAACTATTTAATTTGTTTTTTTTTAAATGATAAAATTAAGTCTTATATTTTCTACACACAAATTTCAAATATCAACACTTGTCATTTGATAAAAGGATTTCCAAATTGAAAACATAATAGAATATTTAAACTCTTTTTCAATTAAAAACGCAAACAGAATATCTAAATAAATTGAAAATACAAAGTCTTACAAATTATTAGAGGTGCTCGCAGTTTGGCAGTTCAATTGCGGTCAAAGGAATCTCAAATCAGTCATCTGTTCAAAACTAAGCGGATTGGAAAAAAATCAATCTACAACCATCTTCTCGTCATCACGCATCCGTCCAAAATGCAGCGAATCGGTTAAGTTCGATAGGTTTGGATGGATCAGAATATCCGCTGAACACTCCTAATATTGACACAATTCAAATAGTACAATCTATTAAATTATGATATTTATAGATTTAATTACTATAAATGTCACAACTCAATCCTGAAAGTCATAATAATAAAATAAAAAAATTAAAAAAAGAAATAAAGAATAACCAAATACCAAATACCAAATAAGATATAACCAAATACCTCATCGGTCAAAATAATATCATAATCAAAAGTATAACAAATCATAACTAATATAATAATCAGCCTTCCGCTAAAAATAATATAAGGTCTCGTTTGACAAGTTAACATTTTAGTCAAAAAGATATTAAAAAAGTCAAAAAACCTATAACCTATACCGAAAAGTCATAGATTCTATTTTCTCTCTACTTTTTACATATTTTTTTGTAAAAAATTAAAAAATCACTCTAAACATATTAATTTTTTTGTTTTATATTTTAATTAAAAAATTAAAAAATTATTAAAATAGTATGTTCTGAAACGAGGCGTAAGATTTATTAATTTGTGTAGCAACCTCTCAAACGGAAACGGAAGGCCCATTACCACATAGAGGAGGAGGAAGGTGATCACGGCCCACTATAAAATGTATAAGTACAGTGTTCTGACCCAAATATAATTTTTGTTGCGAGGGAGTTTTGTATTAGGGCACAGACCAGTTAGAGTTGTCGCGTTATTGAACGGAGTTGGTAGCACAGCGATGATGCTTTCCGGGGATATTCCGCCTAATCAATCGATATACATAAAGAATCTCAACGAGAAGGTCAAGAAAGAAGGTAAATTTGTTTATCTTGATTGCCCCATGTTTTGCTTTGTCTATTTTGAGAGGTGAAATTTTGTGTACTGAATGCCACTAGTTATCAGAATTTTTCTGACCAACCAAACGGGTATTTGAGGTTTTTGTCAGAATCAAATTGGTTGAGTATGGTTAAAGTGATTGAAAACCCACTGAAGAAAGGGACTTGTTAAATTAGGTTGTCAAGTTGGCTTAAAGATTCCATTTTGCTAGCTCAAGACTGAGTTTGGATTGTGGATTTGAGTAGGAATTTGTGGCAGGAAAGGAAAAATAAATAAATAGAAATTGATCCAAACACAATCTAAATATTTTGAGATATCTAATCACTTTTCATGAGGTGTTCTTGGATGTTAATTACTAGATAATTTTGTGAAAAGGCTAGGATTATGTTGGTTCTGTCTTAATATGTGCTTATTTGAGTGGGCCCTTTTGATTTTTTTTTTTTTTTTTTTTGGATGTTGGTGCGGGACATGGAGGGGTTTGGTGTGCTTAGATTGAATGAACTCAGCATACAACATACATCGTGATTATTTTCCACTTTTTCCCCTCTTTTTTTTTATTATTTTGGATGCTGGTGGGGGGCATGGAGGGGTTTGGTGTGCTTAGATTGAATGAACTCAGCATACAACATACATCATGATTATTTTCCACTTTTTTTTTTTTTTCCTTCCTCTTTTTCCCCTTATCTTTTTCCATGTGAAGCTTCCTGATTTCTTAATTACCTCAGAAATAGCAGTGCTTTGATTTGGTTGATCTCAATCTTGAATATGGAGTAATTCTTAAAGGTACATAACTTGGGCTAATCAATAGGATTAACTAGGAGGGATTAACTAGGAGTAGGTAACTTTAGGGATGCTCTGAAATGATAACTAGTTTAGGTTGTAACTTGTAAGTATAATATTATATCATTTATTGTTGATTGTTTAGTATTTTAATTTGTCCATATCTTTGTATGCAATGAGTCCATTTTTTTCCATCATGTTTTTGGAGTTGCAATTGGCTTCTTTGAAGATTGATGTTACCTAGACTTCATGGGAATTCCTTCAAACATGTGGTGGGAAAAATATTATGCTGATACTTTTTTTTTCATATATGAGAGATAACCAAACCGAACCAAGCTTGGGTTGAGGAGGAGGGTTGTGTGTTGGATAGTCGACGGCCAACACGTAAAAAAGCAGCTCGGATCTCTTATTTAGGAGACGGGGTAGGCCTAGATTAACGTTGGCTAGCGTTGTAAATAGAGATATGGATCTACTTAATTTGACTTACGAAATGACCTTTGATAGAGTTGCGTGGAGAAGAAGGATTCATGTAGCCAACCCCATTTGATGGGCTTAAGGTTTGGTTTGGTATGGTATGAGAGATAATCAAACCGAACCAAGTCTTTAAGTCCCATCAAATGAGGTCGGTTATTTGAATTCTTTTTTTTCACTCGACTCTATCAACAACCATTTGGTTAGTCGAATTAAAGAGATTCATATGTCTATTTACTACATTAGCCCACGTTAATCTAGGTTTGCTCCTTCTTCTAACACTTCCATCTTCCGTCACTATATCGCTTTTCTTCACTACTGCCTCTGTTGGTCTCCGTTATATATGACCAAATCATTTCAATCTATTCTCTCTCAACTTATCTTCTATCAGTACTACCCCTACCCATTCACGATTATACTCATTCCTAACTCTGTCTTTTCTAGTATTGCCACACATCCACCTTAGCATCTTTATCTCAGCAACACTCATCTTATATACATGTTGTTTCTTAGTTGCCCAACATTCCGTTACATACAATATCGCTGGTCTAATATATATATATAAAGAACTAAGGGATGAAGATAGACAAATAGGAGTTGAGGATAAGAAATAAGGAAAAGCATGGAGATGTAACAGAGAAGAAGCAAAAGAAAAAAGGAAGTGTGTGTGTGTGTGTGTGTGTGTGTGAGAGAGAGAGAGAGAGAGATTCTTCAATTTTAGTCATATCCATGACCCTTTTTATTTTTCTCCAAGAAGCCATTTTATAGACCTTATAAAACCTTAATTACAAGTCATTACCATGTAAAACTACCTTACCCATTATAGTAACAATTTAGGCCCCAAAATTTCTCCCCACAAACCCTAAACATATGCAAAATGTTGATCTTGCACCAACTTGGTTGTTTCCAAAATATGCAGTTTATGCCTTTATGTTGTTAGACATTATTCATTCTTCTAAATAAATAAATTTTATCAAAGTAAGTTTCCCACATGAAGTCCTTAAAGAAGGGTCCACCATTTTAATAATTTGCCAGCCTAAAATTAAAAAATTTATTAAATTCCCTTACAAAATCCTCTTCTCTCTTTGAATTTGAACAAACAGAGGAAACAAAGAATGGAGTAGACTCTTCATTACCAACAACTAGAAAAAATGATAGTATATCTACCATGTAAACAAAAATTGTATGTGATCAATTTTCTATTAATATACTTTGTGAATATTAATGGTATCGTTTTTATTTTTTATTTTCTGCTTTATTTTTCAAAAAATGCAAAAACCTTGTTTGGGTAAACTGCTTTAGAAAATAGTTTTTTGGGAAAAATTCTGAGAATTCTTTTTAGGAAACACCAAGAAGTTTTTGTTTTTGAATTTTCAAAAATTGGCTAGGTTTGGTTTGTTTTCCAGAAAAAATTTTGGGAAAAATTTTCTACAAACAAATTTTCAAGAGTAATTAAACCAAACAAATTTTTCAAAAAAAAATCTCAAAATTTTGTTTGGTTACCTACTTTCCAAAATCACTCTCTCTCTCTCTCTCTCATACACACATTAAATCAATCATTTTTTTTAAAACTCTCTCCCCAAAATAATTTTTCAAAACTATTTCTGAAAAAGGCAAACCAAACAAGTTTTCGTACTTTTTATCTCAAAAACTACTCTACAAATACAAACTAAACACACCTCATAAAAAAATGATATGAAATCTTTGATTGCGTTTGGTAGAATTTTCTAAATATGATTTGAGAATAGAATTGTATTTTGAGTTTGTGAGTTTTGAAATTATAATTTGAGTGTGAAAAATTTGTTTGGTGAATGAGTTTTGAAAAGAGATTTGAATTGAGTGAGAAATTTTTGATGTGACATATGATATTTGATACAAAAACTTATAACTTATAACCAAACACAACTCAAAATTCTATTTAAAACTCATAAAAAAATTTAAAAATTTTCAATTTTTTTTTGTTTAAAATATAAAAAATAACAGGTGGCATTGTAAAAAAAAAATGCACTGCTCCAGTCAACCGGCCGGATGTCCGGGAAGACAACCGGTTAGCCCAAATTTTCCCGCCTTGGACAGAGTTTTCAAAAGTGAGTGTGGAATTAATTTTTGAAAACCGTAAACAAACACCACACTCCAAATAAGGGGTAGAAATGGGTTTGGAGAGCTTCTCCAAACACAGCCTTTGGGGTTTTTTTTGGTTCTCTCATCTTGTCATCTTTCTCACTTTCAATTATTTTTCCCAGAACAAAAAATAAGTAAATTTTTTTTTATTAATGTGCTTGTTTTACAATTTATTTTTTCATGTAAACTGTAACTGACTTCACATTTGCTATCAATTTTTATGTGTTTAAACAGCACACCTGCAAACATTTATGCTGTTTATGTCTTGTTCCAGAAATGGATGATTGTAACAATCTTTTGCACAGTCAGTTGGCATATCTTCTTGTATCTTACATAGCTTGACAGTATTTTTAGTGTCCACAAATAAGTTTATTTGTGTATGCTTTGTATCTTAAATGTCTACTTAATTTGAAATTAATGCTATATTTGCCTTTTTCTGTTATGCAGAGTTGAAGAGATCTCTTTATGCCTTGTTCTCACAATATGGTAGAATTTTGGATATTGTTGCCTTGAAAACTGCCAAGCTTCGTGGACAGGCATGGGTTGTGTTTAGTGAAGTGACAGCTGCCAGTAATGCAGTTCGACAGATGCAAAACTTTCCATTTTACGATAAACCTATGGTACATCTAAGTAACACATTTTTTTATGGTTACAGTTCTAAACTTTCCATTATCTAATTAAATTGTTTCTTATTTTATGTTTTAAAATCTCAATTGATTGGACCTTCAACCTTGTAAGTAAAAATATGGATTGCCATGAGCACACTAGAGGAGTGGTTCTCGTGAAATTTGCACCCTTACGTTGTTGTTTCTCCCAGAGTCTATTTTTTATTTTCTTTTTCCCACCTTAATCACCCCATGCTCTTTCATTTACTTAGGCCTCGTTTGGGGACTGACTATTTTAGCCAAAAAGCCAACTAAAACTAGCCACATCACCTCTCTACTTTTCTGCACATCTTTTCGTAAAAAGCCAAAAAGTTACTAAAATAGCCTGTTCCCAAATGAGGCCTTAATGTTACTACCTTTCGTGTGTCCATGGATAGTTACAAACACCTCCAAGTAAATGGAGTAACTTAGAAGAGAGAATGGTCAGACCAAGGGGGATAATTGGCTTCTTCAATTGAATGCATTCTACAATGGCTTATGCTTGTGCCTCACTTCTAGACATCACATATACTGTTGCATTAATCGAAATCTAGAATCTCTTGATCTGATGAAATGCTGCTGGCAATGTGGTCTGTTTTATTTTCCCACAACAAATTACTCCCACAAATTTTGACTTAGTACTATGTGTTTTATTTTGTTCTGATCAATAACTTATGTTTTCTATTTTTCCTTTTAAAATCTTATATGCTGTGTGTAATTTGACTATGTTAGTATGTGATTTGATGCAGCGTATACAATATGCAAAAACTAAGTCAGATTGTGTCGCTAAAGCAGATGGTAGCTTTGTCCCAAGAGACAAGAAAAAGAAGCAAGAGGAAAAAGGTGAGGATATTTTTCTTTCTCTTTTTTCTTTTTGTCTTGCTGTTTTTAGTTATATGTTTACATTTTGTTAAACTTTGAACTTTGGAGACATGGCATTGGAGTATACAAAGGTTATGTTTCTTTGAGTAGGTTTTATGGAGCAAAAATAGTAATGGCCTTGGATGAACAAGTGGTTTACCATGTGGTCATAAAATACTGTCAAAATGAACTCAAATTAGAATATGAATAGGTGGTTTTGATGTGAGATGAATGGGTGATACCTTCCAGTAAGAAAAAGGGGCGACAACTATCCACAGAAAGTTAAAAAGAGAGAAAGTTACTTAGGGAATTATTTTCATATCTTTTCTGCAGAGCAGTATGTTGTAGATGACAACTATCCAACAAATCTTCTGTGACATATTAATACCTTGAAATTTGACTAAGTATTGAAGCATTAACAAAGTGATTTAATTAGAAATTCTACCTTAATGTCTGAGTTTCCATTTTTCAACTGGTTAACCTATATAATGAATTGGCTACTTTGTATCCAGCTGAAAGGAGGAGACGTGCTGAAGATTCACAGCAATCTGCCACTGCTAATGGTACAAGAGCTGACAGAAATGGAGGCCCAACTGTAAGTTCACTGCATTTGGATTTGTGCTGTTGAATTGCCTCTCTCTCTCTCTCTCACGCACGCACGCACGCACGCACACGCAATTTGTCAGGATTGTCAATTGGAGGCTAGGGGAAGAGAACAGGTTTTTAGTTTTTTTTGACAAAATTGGAAATAGGGGTTGTTGCTAGGGATGGCAACCGGGGGGGGGATTACACTCCCCGTCCCCGATCCCCGACGGGGACTCTATTACTCTCCCCGTCCTCGCCCCCGATCGGAGATCGGGTTTCCCCGACCCCGAAACTTCCCTGGCCTAAATTTGTTTCAACATCATCAATAACATCACACATACAATTTCAACAACAACACAGATCTGAGACACGCACAAAATCATCAACATCAACAAACAGATCTACTACAACATAAAGACATACATTTTCAACATCAACAACAAATCCCCCAACCCTATTATATTTATTAAACCCAAATATTGATAGAGACACACGCAAAATAGATTAAAAATTTGTGCACCCTAACAGAATCATGAGATTGATAGAAAAATTATTACACAATTTTCAATTGCAATGTCAACTAATGCATGATTTGGGTTCAAAACAGTGCCTATCCTCCCTAACCACGGAGGAGAGAGAGGAAGAAGAGAGAGAGAGAAAAACTAGATCTGGTGGAGTTCATAGAGGACTCCACCATGCTCAATCGACGACTTCGAAGGAGGTAGTGGCGTCGAAGGAGTAGTGGCGTCGTAACGGAAGAGGCAACGGCCACTGGCCAAGGGTAACACGGTGGTAGTGGCGTCAGAACGAAAGAGGCAACGGCATCGGAGGATCTTATCGACGACTTCAGATGTGGAAGAGAGAGTAGAGGGAAGAGAGAGAGAGAAGTGGGTTTGTAAGGGAGAAGAGAGAAAGAGAGAGAGAGAGAGAGAGAGAGTCGTAGGGAGGGGGGAGAGAGAGAGAGAGCCCTACTCAAAGCAGAGACGGCTGTGTGTGTGTTTGTGTTGAGTGTGTGTGAGTGTTCAAACAAAACCCTAAACACACACACATATGTTATATATAAGCAAGGGCAGAAGAGTAATTTCATGTCGGGGGCAACCGGGCCGGGAATCGGGGCCGGGCCGGGCCGGGTCCAGGGCTAAAACATGTATCCCCGTCCCTTGTCCGAATATCATCGGGGATTTAATTTTTAATACCATCTCCGGCCCGTCGGGGATATTTTTTGGGGAATAACCGCTCAATTCGGGGTCGGGTGATCGGGTCCCCGTCGGGCCAGGTTCCGATTGCCATCCCTAGTTGTTGCTTGGTTGAATGGTGGAAGTTTGGTCTCAGAAACATGACTTTTGAATTTTAGGGTATCCACAAATAGTGCAGGATTTTATATCTGCGCCTAATCTACCCCTGCCAGCAATCGATTTTTTACTTTTTGTATTCCTTTACTTTGGAGGGGGCACATGAAGTCACTTGAATGTGGATTAGATTTCCTGGAAACAGTTTGACATGGTTTTGTGAATTGCTAAGTGTTTTTTTTATGGGTAATATAGGGGAATCATAGATCCACATTCATTCACATTTATCCCTTGTGCTGGGTCTTTTCTTTTTTTTCCTCAGTTGTATATACTTTTTAAAGAATGTATTGGAGCAATGTAATTTGGATAAACTGCTGGTGTGTGTTGTGGTGTGTGTTGTGTATGTGTAGGCTTCCTTCGGAAAGCCAGGTGCACAAGAAGCTGCTACAGCCCCAAACAACATACTTTTTATACAGAATTTACCACACGAGACAACAAGTATGATGCTGCAAGTGCTGTTCCAACAATACCCTGGTTTCAAGGAAGTCCGAATGATAGAAGCAAAACCAGGTATTGCCTTTGTAGAGTTTGAGGATGATGTGCAGTCATCGGTTGCCATGCAGGCCCTTCAGGGCTTCAAAATCACTCCGCAGAATCCCATGGCCGTTACTTATGCCAAGAAGTAAACTAACCTATTCATTGTGTGTGTCTTTCCCCTTTTTTTTTTGGGTGGTTTTGTATTGCTGAGGAATTGTAACATTTGAAGAGTTTTAGGTAAAAATGGTGCTTGTATGTTGGCTGATGTTCTTTCTAGTTATGCGTTTCTAACTTCTTGTGTAAGCTATATTAAAAATTGTTTTTGTTTTGGATCAAAACTGGTGAAGGCTATGGCCATCACTAAGCTTAATCTAGAGGAATATAACTTTTTCTTTTTTTAATATAATTTAAAATTAATGTTTGACAAATAATTTAGAAATAAGGGGAAAAGAATATAAAATTAGAAAGACTTTTATTAGCTTTCTAAAGTATATATAGATTGTTCGTTCAAATGTTTTTTTTATATGTAGATTGCGTGGTCTACGACTGAACAGGGTGCATTTGAAAGTATATGTTTTGAGGTGTTATTGCTTGCAACGTGCAGATTCCAGATTGGACTAGTCTTCTGTTAACTTTATTATCATTATATTATTGTATTAGTATAAAGGACTTTTCTCATTTGTGCCTTGCATATGGTATGCAAGGTACTTACACCCTTCTATTTTGCATTTACACATTTATATATATTGGGTTATATTAAAATATTTGGAAACTTACACATTGGTGACCTGCTAAGCAGGTCACTTTTCAGGTAAATTAATAAAATAATATATTATATGACTAAAGGTGTAAATGGTCACAAGAAAAGTATAAGTTTTCAAGAAAGGCGTAAGGAATTTCAGAAAAAGGCGTAATTGATTACTGAAAAGTATAAATCATTTACACCTTTTATGAACACTTACTCCCTTTGTGTAAGAATTTTTGGCATAAGATTTATACCTTTTGCTTCGAACATATACCTTTTGTGGAAGCCCAACTTAAAGCTTTTCGGAAGTCACTTATACCTTTTGTGAAAAAAAAATTTCATCAAATTTACACCTTTTTCTTAAGCTTATACCTTTTCGTAGAAGTGCTTATATATTTTTTTAAAAGTTACTCCTTTTGTGTAAGAATTGTTGGCATAAGATTTTTACTTTTTCTTCGAACTTACACCTTTTGTGAAAGGCCAAGTCATCGGTTGCCATGCAGGCCCTTCAGGGCTTCAAAATCACTCCGCAGAATCCCATGGCCGTTACTTATGCCAAGAAGTAAACTAACCTATTCATTGTGTGTCTTTCCCCTTTTTTTTTGGGTGGTTTTGTATTGCTGAGGAATTGTAACATTTGAAGAGTTTTAGGTAAAAATGATGCTTGTATGTTGGCTGATGTTCTTTCTAGTTACGCGTTTCTAACTTCTTGTGTAAGCTATATTAAAAATTGTTTTTGTTTTGGATCAAAACTGGTGAAGGCTATGGCCATCACTAAGCTTAATCTAGAGGAATATAACTTTTTCTTTTTTTAATATAATTTAAAATTAATGTTTGACAAATAATTTAGAAATAAGGGGAAAAGAATATAAAATTAGAAAGACTTTTATTAGCTTTCTAAATTATATATAGATTGTTCGTTCAAATGTTTTTTTTATATGTAGATTGCGTGGTCTACGACTGAGCAGGGTGCATTTGAAAGTATATGTTTTGAGGTGTTATTGCTTGCAACGTGCAGATTCCAGATTGGACTAGTCTTCTGTTAAACTTTATTATTATAATATTATTGTATTAGTATAATTTACCCTGACATCCTTTGATCTAATTATATTTTATGACTTGACGTTTTGAAAATTACATTTATTCTTGTAGTTAATAGTTTTATTTTTACAAATGAAAGGCAATAACTTTTAGTAAAAAAAATAGAGGAAATTATATTAAAAATAAATAAATAAATAAAGCAAAGTAAAGGGACAAAAAAATAGAGGAAATAAAGTAAAAAAAGAGAAAATGTGTAAGTTTAATATTTTTATTATGTCTAAATAATTACAATGACAAGGGTTAATATAATTTCTTAAACGTCAGGGGTGATATGTATTAAATATAAATCTCAGGAGATGTAGTGTAATTTGGGGTGACATGTATTAAATATAAATCTCAAGAGATGTAGTGGAATTTACCCATTATATTATAAGGTAGTTATCATTTTTCGTTAAGGGAGAGGCTTCTCTCCATTCTCTCTAGTTTATATAGTGGATTGGAGTATACTGTTGGATTCGTGGGGTTTATCATGGGTCATGTTTTGATAATTCGAATCATTCAATGTGTAGAGTTCGTCAAGTATTTTATGCCTACAAAAAATTACGTTGATCGAATTGAAACACATTTTGGTCAATGGTAAATATGATTATAAAAATAAATTGTTAATAAAAATGTGTTCCGATCAAGGGATTACTGATATTCAATAAACGTAATTTTTTGAAAGTATAAAATATTCGACGAGTTTTGCATATGTAACGATTCAAATCATTGAAACAAGATCTATAGTGGGCCTCACGGGCCCAACAATACGCCTCAGCCCACATAGAAGCCTCTCCCTTTTGTAAAATCAAAATTGAGCATGTTTAATTTGGGCTTGTATTAGATTTTGGAATTAGAAATCAATCCTTCACGTTACAATTTGCTAATAATGTCAAGGCTTGGATTGAGAGTAATCATATATATGCAAGGCAAATTATACTTTTACCCCTTAATTATGGTCACTATCAGTCTATTTCTTTAACTAAAATTTGTTTAATCTTTTTATTTATTTTAGTGGTTGTTTGGCATGTGCTAAAATAGCACACATTATCCTATTTAGGTTACAATCATCTTATTTAAATCACATCACCTTTCTACCATATCACTTCAAACCCAACTCATGTTTCACATTTTTTCGTAAAAGGTCAAAAAGTATGAGATGGGTTGGGTTTGGGATGATCTAAATAAGTGTACTTTTTAACTTTTCATGAAATATTAGTTGGATATGGGTTAGATTTGAAGTGATGTGATAAAAAGGTGATATGATAGAAAGGTGATGTGACTTAAATAAGATGATATGACTTAAATAGGATAGTGAATTTTTAATTTTTTTAGGTTATGACAAACAAACAACCCCTTAGTCTCAACTTTTTTTGTTAACTTCTTACTAACATTCTTTATAAAAACAGATAACGAAAGAATGACTCAAACTGTACATATATAAATGTCACTTTTGTTGAGAAAATGGTAAAACCAGCATATATATTAAAATAAGAAAATAGAACAAGGATTACAAACCAACACTATTCAATAGACAATCAGACGTAACAAACAAAAACAGAACCAAATGAGATAGGCAACCAACAAAGCCCAAAGACAAGCCCCCAGCTCCTGGATCAGATTGCTCGGCGTTGAGGTGGTCTAAAAAGATTGGGGTCGTTGAAGCAGGCTTCAATTCTCAACTCTCTCTTACGTTTCCCAGCAATAAGCCCCAGTGCAATTCTCTTGAATGTGTGCTACAGGATCTAGGAGCCCAACTTGATCTGCCAAGTCTCAAAACCTTAACTTTTCCAATTCTACAGAAATGGACAGAGTTGGTTGCATCAGACTTCAAGCTACCCGTTCTTGGAGCTCTGATTCGTTTAGAACCTCCTACATGAAAAACCATAATGGAATCAAGTAAAGGATTAGGAAGCAAAGGTGAGTCAAGACCTAGTGGTGGTAGTTGCTTTTCATAATCTTGAGAAAGAGGAAAAGACTAAATTGGTGGCAAAACTTCATCTAAAACGAGTGAAACGGGTGTTGGCATCTGAACTTCAGGAAATGAAGCCTCCTCATCCTCAACCTCAACTTGCATATCTGGGTTGGAATGTCCTTGTGGCAGGAGTTCAACAATCGAAAAACTTGGTCGGTGTAGAAAGTGAAAAGAACCAACTGATTGTAGATTTTGCCGCAATGTACAATTGAGGAGAAAATTCTTGCCAAGACGCACCTTGTGGCGACGCTAAATCTCCCTTTTGAAAGTACCACCATACACCTTACCCCCTTGAAACTGACGTCCTCATGATTTGTTAATATAGCCTACCGCAGGCTTGCTTTCACCACCTCCATCTGTCCCACTATCACAACAATCTGACCTAGACGAACGGATGGACCACTCGGGCCAAAAACGACACTAAATAGAAAGGAGTCAGACATGTTGCGACCCACCATTGGTAGGATGTCTAGTGGTCCAACTTCATCATCCATACCCACGGAACTCTTCCAATGTGGCAAAGCTGAACCACAAACAAATTGAAAATCCTCATCATCCATAATATCCTTAATGAGAGCAATCTTCAATGGGTTCTGTACGGGGAGGAAATAATTCTCCTCGTATAATCCTGTTGACCAAGTCCACGCTCCTCCGTACGACGTCGCTTTATCACCTGAAAACACAAACGTGAGCTAGCCGGCGGGTGTGTGCCGGAAACCTCTCCGATGCCTAAGTCAGTAAGCTTGACAAATAGACAAAGTTTTATGCTTTTATAAGTTTCCCGTGGCACAATCCTAGTAGGACTTGTACTTCTCCATGCAGAGTCCTCCTAGGATTCATACTCCAAAGGATAATGCTTATCCTTTTACACCCTCCCCCACTGCTTAAACCAAGTGGGATGGTTTTTACTTTGGCCGAACTACTATATGATCGAAATAAGCTTGGCTATGCACAGCCACTGAATAAACCGAACTCATCCTTAGTTCGGTCCTTGTGTTTTCCCTTTCTTATCTCAGCTTTCCATGTAGAACCCATGGTACGATCTTGGACCGAACCAACGACTTTCGGCCGGTCTAACCCCAATACCGGTATAACTCCAAGTTGCTTTCGGACCGAAGTATCTTTTACAGTCACTGTGCCGAAGTAACTTTATCTCCCTTAGGCCGAAGTAGTCTTGCCTCTCCTGGGCCGGAGTAACACTGCGGCCTTCCCTGGGCCGGAGTAACATTGCGACCTTCCCTGGGCCGGAGTAATATTGCGGCCTTTTCACCAAGTTTTTGGCACTTTGGGCCACAAAGCCCATCTCATAGCTCGGCCCAATTTTTACCAAAAATTAGCCTCTCAGGTTCAAATGTGGGAATTTATCAAATGGCAGAGAGTTTTTCAAGTCATCTTGCCTATCTTCCTCCTCCATAATAATACCTTTACCGTTCTTCTTCCAAGAAATGCGATTTTTTGAGGCCCTCTTGGGTTTGAAAAGAAACCCCTTCTTCAATATGAGGAGCAAAATAATCACCACAAAAACACCAAAAAACGTAATGGCAGAGGAGTGAGGAAACAATACGAACCAGACAAACCCACCAGAAACCAAGAA